GGGTTGATACAAATAGAAACCTATGATGAAATTTTTACCAGTCTTAAAAACATTTGTGGGAGCTGGGGTATGAGAATGTGGATCTTATGAATCCCCTAGAGGTCTGGTGCATGGATTCGTGCACCGGTGGGATCCCTTGGCCTGGCCTGTGGGGCAGAAACCAGCACTCTGACATCCTCTGAGTGGTCTGGATGAGAGAGGGGTGCAGGCCAGGCTGAGGGACACCACCAGTGCACGATCGGGGCTGGGGAGGGATCACAGGAGGGCTCCAGGGTGTGCCTGGCCCATCTCACCCAGTCTCATCAGCCAGACCCCAGCAGCAAGCTAACCTACCGGTTGGAGAATCTACCCCCTGGTGGTTAGTGCACATGATAGCGACTGGTTGTATGGTTGAACGGTCAGAGGGACAATTAGCATATTAAGCTTTTATATATATAAATTGGTTAATTATAATTTCTTTAACACAAAAAACATTATCATTAGAATCCTGTTTCTACAAAAACTGGGCATATTTGTAGATAAAACAGAATTTGAGCAGAACAAAGGGAGAAAAAACATGAAGTGGAAGAGAAGATAAAGAAGATGTGTAAGAAATAAGTTTCATGAAGGATGACATGAAAACAGACAAAGCCAAGACTTGGGTGCCTGCGCCAGAGCTCTACAAAACAGCCTCTTTGGGAAAAGTTTAGTATGGAAGCCTAGAGTCTGTTTACAACTATTTAACAAGTCACAGTCTAGTCCTTAAAGCTTCTTCCAGACCCTAGTACTTTCTGATTACCTTTTAGAGGTAAATACAGAGTATATCAAGTTCAATGTAAAAGATAACAGTTGCTAGGGGAGAAAAGTCACCATAAAATAGAACGGGACTTTTTTGTCACCTATGGTGAAAAGAAATGTTCATCATTACATAATGCCACTTCATTTCTTCAACTTCCTCAACTATCTCAAACCGAACAGAGAACCAGGAGGAAGTTGCTTTTTTTTTTTTTTTTTTTAAAGTAAAATAAAAACCTCTAACAACCAAAATAAATGTCACAAAGGTCACACATTGCAACTTATAGACTAACTGGCAGGAAAGTCCCTTTAGGCCTTCGTCAGAGCCTATTCGCT